ACTGTATCGAAAATAGTTGTAACAAATTTTTCTTTCCAAATCCATGAAAAATATTTTGAAATTTAAAAAAATGTTTCTTTAACTATATGTATTTCATGTCCTTCTTACGAAGTTAACTTCACTAAAACAAATTAAAATCTATTCTGTTAGGTTCTTTTATGATCTAAGTTTTTATTCGTCTTATAAATATTGGACAGTGTGACAAAACAGGTTTTAAGCACTTTTTGTCGGCATCGTAGTATATTTTTGATTTGCAATCAATTCTATACTTCAGTTTTGCTGAAAAATTGATAAAATGAAGAAAAAAAAATTGATTAACGCCGGGAGTGACCCAATTCAACTTGCTCGCAACTGCAACATTGAATGCCGATTGCTGATTGGCAATTTTAAAGAGCATATTCAAAGGGATATTAAGAGCTCTAAAACCTTTAAATAGTCAAACATATACTGTAACGATGCGTTAAAAAAACACACGAAATGCATTGTCAAAACCTCATAAGAAGAACTACATCTAACATGATACCAGTCCTTTAAAGGGTATATTTTGATTTGTTTTACTTTGTTAAGTTTTAAAGAAGGACATGACACACATAATGGATTAACCTTTTTTTTATTAAATCACTTCTTTTTAAGGAATTGGAAGAAAAATTGTGTTTACAACTTATTTTGATACAGTCTTTTATAAACCTGTGTTCAATATAATAGCAGCGCATGCCGATTTCCATACAAAATGGTCAACTTTGACAAGTTGTAACTTTGTTCTCTTAATATCAATTGAGCTGAAACGTTCACCACAGAACTACAAATATGTTCAATTTTACACTTACGATTACAAAATACCAAATTTTTGGAAGCACGGAAAGTGAGAAACTAGGTAAAATTGTTCAAAATAATAGCAGTATTAATAATTTGCATTTCAGCTCAATTTTGAGATTTTAAATTTTACATTTCTCAAAATTTTAACAATCCCCACCCAATTAACAAATGTACATAATAGTTAAAAATGTTTAAAATATTTGCAGCACATGAAAATTCAAATAAAAAACTGCTATTATTTTTAACAGTTTTACCTAGTGCCTCACTTTCCAACAGGTGCTTCCAAAAATTTGGTATTACAGGGTGTCGACTCAAAGTCGAAAATAAAGTTCCCTGACTTTCCCTGACTTTCCAGTCGGTTTTCAGAAAAATTCCAGTCCACAAAACTTCGTTATTTTAACCTAAGAAGCTACAACGTGATGTGCTTTATTATACCGTAGCGTAAGTTAAGGTTAGTTTAAAATGAGCAGCAGGGTAAGCTTTCGAAAATATCAAGAATAGCATACTCATGGCACTTACAACAGAACTTGATACTAATACAATTTTTACAGACTATATGACCGACTACCTACGAAGGATGTGAATAGACCTAGGGCTATAGATACATATTATAATATAATAATGAATAACTACTGCTCACAACTAGGCTCCCTATTCATTACTAAGTAAGGGGCACCACAAAAGATCAAATAATGGACGCAGTGGTTCAACTCCCCCCAACAAAAAAAAGTAATAATAGGAATATTTAATCAATGTTACCAAGCTCTCAATTTGTGTTCATAATTTCACAGCCAAATAAAAATCAACCCGTAGACGATCCTTTCTCTTTACATATAATTTTTTGTAAAATAACAGAGCAGTGATTATTCTTGCTTTGGCAACCGAACCTGAGGATGCACTGCTCATGCATTAGTCAGTTTCGTACTCTCTGGAATTCCATATGACAACCGCAGACATGGTAAAATAATTCAAGTTTAATTATCATTAACATTTTATTCTCTCAGTGAGTTCACATTACAACGAGAAATTGCAAGTTGAATATGTGTTTATTTTCGGATTACTTTTAAAAATGTTTATCATTTGAGCAGAACAATTTTCTCCTGTAAACGACGATCCTTGTCTACATGGAAAGCGAATGCGATTTTTCGAACTCGCTGAATAAGTTCATTCAAAATTTGTAAGTTTTCGAACCCGCTTGCATGAGTAACACCATCATAGATCTGACGTCGCGCTACGACTGAAGGCCCAAACGCAATGTGGGCAGAAGCGGAACGGAAACGGTGTCACAAATGACATCAAGATGCCTAACCGCACTCGAATGTAGTTTTGCAGGAACCAAACAATCTCTCATTGAATGACCTGGAGATCGACATACCAGTGACTCGAACACTTTAGATTCGACCCCGAGCAAGGTAATCCCATGGTAGTTTTCCACATTGCATTTGTCTCCTTTCTTGAAAACAGGGAACATAGTAGAGCATTTCCAAAGCGTGGGGAACTTACGCTGATGGAGCGATAGATTAAAAAGCAGGGTCATCATCATCATCAGGGCGGCTAAGATATCACAGCATTTTTTCAGCACAGCAGATGGCATAACACTCGGTCCGGGTGAAAAAGAAGATTTAGTTTTCCTTATCGTAGAGAGAACCATTTCAACATCCACAGTAAAAACATCCATGTTTACGACATCGGTTGGCACATGGTGGACTGCTAGATTGATTTCAGCTTGCGATGGTGATTCGTTCGAGAAAACGCTCGAGAAGTGCCTTGCAAAAAGTCAGCATTTATCCTCAGTTGTCAATGCTACGTCGTTGCCCAGAAACACCTTCGACGGGACACCAGTTTCCTTTCTTTTAGTATTTACGAACGACCAGAATCCCCTAGGATTGCTTCGCAGATTACGTTCAGTGCGAATTACATACCGCTGGTAGAGAAGCTTGTTGTAGCGGCGATAGTTGTTACTGGCAATTGAAAAATTCCGTTTGGTCAAGAAGCAGAAATACAGTCGCGCAGAAAGCAATTATAGCGATCGACAGCTATGTCGATCTCCAGGTCATTCAACACTTTCCAGTCTATCTCTGACAAGGAACGTCGCAGCAAACGTAAATCAGTCTTCCGGAAGTTGAGACGATAGACAATCGAAGTTTCATCAAAGTGAAGTTGAGATCTATTTGCGATAGAAATATCCAAAGCAGGATGGAAGTTGTCAAGAGGAACGATGACATCAGGCGCCTCAGTAACGGTACAGTCAAGAAGTGAATTTTCACTAAGTCTAGGAAATGAGACTGAAAGTTGGGAACTAGATTTATATATCTGCCTCAATCCATGAAAACCAGTACCGTCCACCAGCAAGCGGCTGGCCGGAGTAGTAACAGATGCTATTGGATCTGGATATGCAAATCCCTGACCTGAGTGCGACCAGATAAGCCCAGTTTGATTGAAATCACCGAGCATAAGAATCATATTCGGAGTGATTTGAGATTTGGACGTAATTGTATTTGTAAACAAACACGTCAATCGTCGATTTCTCGTGAATAAAAGCTCAATATTATAAACAAACTATACCAAATGATAGAGGAATCATACCTCTACCTCGCAGTGTTATTAGTTTTCAAAATTGAGCTTTTATTCGCGATAAATCGGCGATGGACATGGACAAATCACTCCGGATATCCGAATAATTAGCCATAGAAGAAGCAAATTCTACAGCATCCATATGAAGTTGCATTATGCTACAGTCGAGACGTCGTTCAGGGGGAATGTACACCGTTCAGATGGTCAATTTTAATGAACCTGTCCAGAACGCCTCTAACCATTTGAGACATTGCGTTGCACCAAAAAGGCACCATAGGGTTGTCCATCTGAAATTCGCATTGAAATGGCTCAACTTCGACAGCAACTGATTTAAAGAAAGCTAGCTTAATACCACGTTCAGACTACAGAGTTATAACATGTTATAACGGTTGTCAAATAATTGCAATACAGAAACCACCATCAAGATAGTGCTATAACATGTTATAAATCTGTAGTCTGAACGTACTATTAGCCATCAGCAGCGAGACATTCAAACAGTTTTTAACATCTTGGTAGGAAGCTGACGTTGGTTCAATTTTGTCTTTCTGGACGCCTTGAATAAATTTTCGTATTTGCGGAGTAATTTTGATTGCCCTCTGAACAGCAGCACTATTTTCCAACCATCGGTGACCGCAAAACTTTAGCGGGAATATGGTAGATCCAGAATACATCGTGATAAACGCTCGTCTTGCTGGTACATCTTTGAAGATATTGTAGATACCACGCAAATCTAGATAGAGCTGGAATTAGGGCGAAACAGCTTTTGTAAACAATGACTTCTTTCGATGATTTCTAGAAATTTAAGACTCGCCAACGTAAATCAACACTACCATCGGGTAGGGCAAGATTTCCCCTACCCGATGGTTATGTTGATTTGCCTGGTCGTGCCTTGAGTTCCTAGAAATCATCGGGAGAAATCATTGTTTACAAAGGCTGTTACGCCCTAATTCCAGCTCTATCTAGAAATATTTGACAACAATGAATGTATTATGCAAAATATACAGCCCACAGCTTCCCAGATCTATCAGCTTCTCGCCACCTTTTTGTGCCTCTAGCTTCAATTCACATTGGGCCCATCCATGGACACTTGCAGCAACTTGTTCGAAGAGATACCGGCAAGGGCGTCCATAAACGCAGCGAGTAGATCTGATGCCCGGGATCTTCCCAAAAACTTTGACTTCATGCACTGATAAAATTTCAAAGATTGTTTTTATGTGTCCCACACATGATTTTTTTGCAATGTGATCAACATTATTTTTTTCCCTGACCTACATTAAAATTCCCTGACATTCCCTGACTTTCCAGATCATAAATAGAATTCCCTGACATTCTCTGACTTTCCAGGTTTTTCCAGGTAGTCGACACCCTGTTATTATGTAAACGTAAAATAGAACATATTTGTAGTCCTGTGGCGAGCGTTTCAGCTCAATTGATCATAAGTTAACAAATTTAAATCATGTCAAAGTTGACTATTTTGTATGGAAATCGACATGCACAGCTATACTATTGAACACAGCTGTATATATATATATATATATATATATATATATATACCTACAAGTCCTTATTTTTATATAAACTAAAACATACTTGACAATAAACTTGCTTACCTTGCTAGTATTATAACGAACAAAACGCCGGATCAGTTAATCCTTTCTTGTGGTATTTGAAATTAGCCAGGATGTAGAAAATTCTATGTACATATGAAATTAACACCAGTATTTTAATAATAAAAAATATTTTTTAAAACACGCATCAAATATTATGAAGCCACTTTGAATTCATGGAATTTTAAAATACTTAGTAGGCTTTCAACGTAATCCACCGCAAAACCCCACAGTACAAAGGAAATGCGTCAAAGACTACACAGCTACGAATCTTTTGTCACTTTTAGAATGCCGTCGTAAAACAGCACCACCACTTAAACTCTTCGGCACTTCACCACCGATGAAATTATGCAAATTTTATTATACCTCTTCGGCGGTTTTCACCATGCACGGCTTATTCTTCTACAACTCCAACGTGGACTGAGCACACCCACGCATCAAATTTATATTCAACTAACTGTCGTATAACGTTGTTATACGTTGATATGATTTGGTAAGGTATCTATTTATGGTAGAGCATACAATAAATAAAAAAAACAAGTTCGCCTATTCTTGAATTCAATCAACTGAACAGCTGCAGAAAGAAAAATGCAACACTATTGTTCTGCTCAACCGAAACTGGAAACCCCAAAAGCAACCACAATTGAATTTTGTTCACTTTCTCCAATCACAATCACTATAGCGAAACCAAATCACTGTTTTTTGTTGTGGTGCTTTTGTTATGGTCATTTAGGTCCAGATCGATCTGTTTCGATCAGAATATGGACGATCACACTCACACGAATGGGGAGGAAGACAACACACTATTCTTTCCTGGTGATCACCAACAGCAGGAGACAATCATCACAGATATACTGTTTCTGGAATTTTGGTTTATTAGACTTCGACTTAGATGCACGAAGATGTATAATCTTACAAGCAGATGCCTAATCACACTCGTCAATCGTAAAACAATAATCAAAGTTCAATTCACGTTTACAATGCTTTAAAATCGCTTCGACTATTCGCAATCTTCGATAAAAAAAAAAAAAAGTTTAAAAACTACAAGCCAACAGTGCAGCAGCAACCCACGACCGACCACAAAGAAGCAAACAACACGAATGAAGTGTAAACGAAAGGATTCGACAACTTTTGCGGATGGATTTCTTTCAGTTTCTTAACCAGTGTTGTTCAATTTGAGTTCATTCGTTTTCTCACAAGTGTGAGTGATTGAATGCATGAATATTAGGTTCTGCAGCGTGACGTCACAAATGAACTCAGTGTTAATAGGCTGAACCTTTTTGACAGTTCAGTGGTACTGTTTACAAGCACTTAGTCGTTTTTTCGAAAAAATATATTTTAAAATTTCCGAATTTTAACTTGAAAATTGTCGAGGAACAGCGCGGTGAAAGGATGTTGCTCGTGGACAATGCAGAAATGCTGTTTACATCTCACTGCAGTCTGAAAAATTATCGAGAAAATCCACCCAAGAAAAAATCGGCTAAGTCCACGTAAACAGTACCACTAAACTGTCATCAGATTGAGGTTAACCCCGACGGTGCAAAACCTAATTAGGTTTTGCACCGTCGGGGTTAACCTTAATCTGATGGCAGTTCAGTGGTACTGTTTACGTGGACTTAGTCGATTTTTTCTTGGGTGGATTTTCTCGATAATTTTTCAGACTGCAGTGAGATGTACACAGCATTTCTGCAATGTTCACGAGCAACATCCTTGCAACGCGCTGTTCCTCGACAATTTTCAAGTTAAAATTCAGAAACTTTAGAAATTTTTTTTTCGAAAAAACGACTAAGTGCTTGTAAACAGTACCACTGAACTGTCAAAAAGGTTCAGCCGTTTAACACTGAGTTCATTTGTGACGTCACGCTGCAGAACCTAATTAGGTTCTGCAGCGTGACGTCACGAATGAACTCAGTGTTAATCGGCTGAACCTTTTTGACAGTTCAGTGGTACTGTTTACAAGCACTTAGCCGTTTATTCGAAAAAAAAAAATTCTAAAATTTCCGAATTTTAACTTGAAAATTGTCGAGGAACAGCGCGGTGAAAGGATGTTGCTCGTGGACAATGCAGAAGTGTGGTTTACATCTCTCTGCACTCTGAAAAATTATCGAGAAAATCCACCCAAGAAAAAATCGACTAAGTCCACGTAAACAGTACCACTGAACTGTCATCAGATTGAGGTTAACCCCGACGGTGCAAAACCTAATTGAGGAGTTCGTTGCGTAAATACTAGCGCTTGAAACTCGGGCATGAGCAAGGTAACTACATATAGGTGTTCTAATGTGTCAAATTCATGATTCAGCCATGTTGGATTTTTATATGGGACAGCGACCGAGTTTGTTTACAATTTGCTCTGAAACCGCACTTCAGTGCTAACATTTGAAAACGGCACAAAAGCCATTTGTAAACAAATGGTTTGTGGGCCCTTTACTCACTACTTGAAGTACACCCACGCGACACAACAGCAACATCGGGTAGGGGAAATTTTCCCCTTCCTGACGATGCTGTTGGTTTGCGTGTGCGTTCTTCGGGTAGCGAGTAAAGGGCCCACAAACCATTTGTTTACAAATGGCTTTTGCGCCGTTTTCAAATGTTAGCACTGACTTTTCCCCTCCGCGACCTCCTCGCCTCAAGGGGGGGAGGTGGCTGTCAAATACGAACAATCTTCGCCTACCTCGCATAACTGGTTCCAAACGTAAACAAGCCATAAGAAACCTACAGGGTTTGTTTACGTTTGGAACCAGTTTCATACAAGATGATCAGTAGGCTGATTTGACAGCACATCCCCCCCCAGCCTCGCCTATATAGTGACAAAGCTGCATCACCATATATATACTCACCATGGGCATGAGCTTGGGCAGCTTGTTGAACTGGCTGCGTACGGTATGCTGTAATTTTGTGTTTTGAATTGACCGTTTCAGGTTTACTGCAGAGTCGATGTTATAATAAGAGTCCCGCCAAGAGAAAATGTTGCGAACAAGCAGCACTGTTTTTGATTTATTTTTCGTCAGAGTGAACGGCAACCAGATTTTTTGGGTTAGCATCGGATGACTTTCATTTAGAAGTGAAAAATTTCATGTCGATAACGGAGCTTCTGGGAGACAAATACAATTATAGAACCTGGAAAATGGTCAAACAAGTAATTGGTATAACTTATAAGTGTGCACTAAATAAATCGAAGAAATGTTTTTCTTCTAAAAATACTAAAATATTGTTAGTAATGAATTCCATACTTCAAGAGCAAATTTTCATTACGTCGAATGTAACAAAGGTAAACAAAGTCGAGTTATCAGTGTCAATCGATGCTCCTGCTATTACACTATATACTGTCCGAATATAGGATCACATCCCATTTTTAAATTTATTTACCAGTCGAATTGCTTTTTGACGTAATCACCTTCCGATCAAAATAGTTTTCGATGTTACTTAAGTCACCCGATTTCTATGGAGATGCCGTTTGCCTTAAGTAACAGCACTGAGAAACCCGTGAAAAGTGTACTTTAGTCGGTCCGCTTTCTCATTATTAAAGTGAATAAATCGAACTGTTTGTTGCTAAGATGATTTCGGTGGTCCTAAAATGATGAATGGGCTGCACGTAAGGAGACGTAATTGATAATTCTCCCGAATATCCTGGTAAATACACTTTGACTTAAGTAACAATAGGGGCCACCAAACGACGTATAATAACTTTTGACTCAAAAACCAGTATATATTAGCATGAAAGCTAGCGATTTGCATTTGTATGATTAAAACCCTGCTAAATATGTTAAACATTGCTATCACTATGAGATTATATGTGTTTAATTGGAAATAGGAATAACTTTTCGGTCATCAAAACAAAACTTTATTTTTCTCGGATCGATGCGAATGTTACTTACGACATAATGAAAATTTGCTCTTGACTTGTACTTCACTGGCTGTGGGAACAATAATTTTTATTTACTTTGCTTGTTTGGTACCCCGCTTGACAGTTCGATTGGTACTACTGGCTTCACTCTTGGCGGGACTCTTATTATAACATTGACTCTGCCTCATGTATGAATTTTCAAGTGACACAGATACGTCTATCCAACAGTAACAGAGCAACGGTGGACAAGCTAGAGGGTAAGTGATTTATATTATTTTCATAGATAAGCCCTAGAAAAATAATCATTATTAAAGTTTTCATTGCCCGGTGTCCGGATTATTATTGAATAAAGATTTGAAATTGAGTAATTTATTATGCCAATTAAGTAGTAACTGTTAGCAGAAACTCATTGTTTTTAAAATAATTTACTCATTAATGAGTAAAGCCACTGTTATTAAAAATGGGTTAAATTAAACTCATTAAAGGGTATTTGACTGCTACCGTGCAAGCGTAGGGTTTGTTTTCATTTTGTTGTTTATTTTTACTTTAGAATGCCAGTTCTTACAGCAAACAAAAAATTTCTCACAGCTAACAAAAAATTTCATCTCACTAACACACGCAAATCGCACCAATTGGCGTTGGCGGCACCGTCGAAAAATTTGCTCTTCCAGAAAATTTAGACAGTTTCTTATGGGAATTTAGGAGTAAAGAGCTACAGAGTCGCCGTCAAAGCCAATACAAACCCACCTGGGAGAGGACTATGACGTCACGCTGCAGTACCCAAGGGATGGATATGGCTGTCATATCGCTTAAGTTTGTTGCGTACCGAACATCTGCAACGTTGTCAGCGGTACCATGATATGTTTTGTTGTTTTGATGTTGAGTACGTGTATTCAGCTATATTAGAGTCGGTGTATAATGAGTCACGCCAAGAGTGAAGCCAAGTCTACCTATTGAACTGTCAAAGCGGCTACCTATCGTGCAAAGTAAATAAACATTACGATGCTATGAAAGGTTCACGAAAGGTATTGCAATAAAATATAAAATATAATCGAAGAAATGAGCATAAACACGCAGTGAGCGTTAAATTGTCATGGGATACGCTCGGTAATGATTAGTAATGAGAATTTCTACTATTTTTTGTTAAGATAATTTGACAAAATCACTGATATAATGATTCACTACAGCCGCAGTATTTTTTCTCTCGCTAGAAGTCATTTGAAGTTGTTGTAGAAGTCCTCTGTTGCCAAGTGAAAAGAATTGGAATCTTTCGAAAACCGTGATGCGAGTTCAACTGTTTTTCTCTTGGCGTGACTCATTATACACCGACTCTAAGCTATATGTCAAACCCCTGGCAGTACCTAAACTGTGCACGCAGCCATTTGTTTACAAACAGAACTGAACAAACATAACAAAAGTTCACTGGCGTGACTGCGTGTACTTAAAGCGCGCGTAGTCGATTCGCGAGAAAATATTTTAAAATTTATCAGAAAATATAAAAAAGACATCTACATTTCGATTTAATCAAGTTTTATCAAGAGTTTTACCCAGTTTTTTTTAATGTTCACTAAAACGTGCTTGGATCTATGGAAGGAAGAAGGTAAACAAATAGGTATCGTAACCTTTTGTAGAGACCTGGATCAGGCCATCGGAACCGGGATAACTGTCGGTATGATCACCGAGTTTTGCGGTCCACCCGGAAGCGGAAAGACCCAAATGTGGTAAGTACACTTAAGCTTTCATTTTTGTTGCTCAGTTTATTAATCAGACAGATTATTCTGGTCAAAATTGAACCTTTATTTTGGATCCATGTGAGAGAGCTTAACTAGTCTGTATTGTTTGCAGTTTGCAGTTATGCATCAACGTTCAAATTCCTCTCCAGCTCGGAGGGCTAGGCGCAAAGGCCGTTTATTTTGATACGAACGTTGGGTTCCATCCACTCAGACTAGAAGGTGAGAAAAGGTCTACCGGATTACATTTTGGATTTAAAATTTGGTCAAACCGTTCATAGAAATAGCTACCGCATGCGTTAGACATTGCCAAAAAGTGGTTCTAACTAACAAAGGAGAACTGGCATCAGCCACAAATAATTTCACTGTCGATAGCTTAATGGACGGAGTTTACTACAAGCACATACATGGGATCGACGAGATGCTGGATGGAATTGATACTCTGGAAAAGCTATTCAAAGTGGGCGACAAGGTAGCAGCTGTTTTCGAAACAGGACAATACTGGATCAACAATAGAAAAGGGCCCATCAGCATTTGTAAACAAACCGTTCCAAAGCCAATTAATCACAAATCTAAGGCTGCCCACACAAACCAACACCATCATCGTGTAGGTGGAAGTTTCCCCTATCCGATGATGGTGTTGGCTTGCGTGGGTGGCCATCGCTTTGTGAGTAAAGGGCTTAGGAACGGTTTGTTTACAAATGCTGATGGGCCCTTTTCTATTGTTCATCCAGAATACATTATTGCATTCAAAATAATCGGTTGCCATATATTTTAGATTAAGCTGGTGGTGATAGATTCAATATCCTTTCTCATCAGAAACAATATTGAAAGCACACTAGAAAGAATAAGAGTGGATCACATCATACTTACCAAGCTTCACGTTCTTGCTCAGCGGTACAAGTGTGCCGTAAGTTTTGAACTTAATAATGTTATTGGGAATATTAGTATCTCACGGTTTTGTGCCTACAGATAGTCATCACCAACGACGTGACAACTCGATTTAACGGACAAGACGGTAGCAGAATTGTTCCTGCCCTCGGGGATGCCCACAGCCACAAAATTAACCAACGAATAGTGCTTGGGCAGGGAATCGATGATCAACCTGGGTTGGGTATAGCGTCAATCGATAAGGGTCTATTTCGGACACGCATGGCGGTTAAGTTTCAAATTAGCCAAGACGGTATTAGGGGTGTGAAAAAGAGGTGATATTTACTACGGAATAACCCATCCATTTTATTACTGTTACAATTTTGTATTAATTCTGTGATAAAATCTATCGGAAACAAAATAGAAACAAACTCATTACTCGAAAGAAACGACAATAAATACACTTAACATTTTAGCAAAAATACTTTAATCGATAATTCTTGAGCCTCAAATTTCTTAAAAGGAGGCCAGCGTTACCAGAGCGTCTCGGTAGTCGCCGCTCAGATCGTCCTGCAAGGGAAACAAATTACGTTCATCTCTTGTTCGAAAACCATTGTGGGGAAGTGTGTTAGGTAGCGGAAAGGATGGACTAAATTGATTATGTGAACATTTAACCTAATGAATGGTTCTACCAGCAGGGTATCGTAGACTAAATAAATTACAATTACATTTTGGGAATAAAACCAGACTTAGGGACTGTCATCAACGGTAACGATCGCGTATGATTATCAAACAGAAAGCAATGGTGGATGATTATGAGTGTTTGACTGACCGCTGAAATGATGCGCAATTTTTAAGATGATTAAGACTAGCGTAACGAGTAACAGAGACGCGATGCTAAATGGTTTATTTCTTATTCCAATGGGCAAATAGGATTTTGTTTAAATGCTTTGAATGATTCAATAAATAACATCATATTAATTGCTCTTAATTTAACACATTTTCATTGTTAATACTAATAGATCCTTCAATTGATTGTTTCAATCTTCCAGCATCTCCAACAGACGCATCTTAGTATGAAGCCAGTTCGGCAAGTAAGTTGCCCAAATCGCTTCCCAGGTCATCCTAGAAAGGATAAAAATGAGACGTGTTCGATACAATTATGTGGCCATGATTTGAAGAAGAATATCAAAAGTAAAATCTACTGAAGCATTGTCCCATTACCATCATGAGTGTACTTGGATAGAATTGTCAAATCAAAACTTATGTAAGCACCGTAATGCACCTAACAACAACATCTCAATAATAAATGAGATCTTTCTATTTGCAGAAATGCTCTACGTTGCATCATCTTTTTTTTTCGTAAATTTAAAACAACTTAATAGGAAGCCAAGGTAGCCAAGAGGTCTCCTAGATCGCCTTCACAATCCTCCTGTGGAAGAAACAGAAGGAAAGAGAAAACTTATTAACTTCTGGTCAAATTCTGGTTTCGGTTGCACAAATATGGAAAGCAACTATTTTTTTTTAAATTTTGGTTTCATTGAACTATCAACTTGCAAATCCACACATAGTTGGAGTCGCTATATTTATAGTCTGGCTGATACGCAATCGTCAGATAGCCTAGTCAGTAAAGGCACGGTATTACCAAGCCGGAGACTGCGGGTTCGTTGCCCGGTCCGGTCGAGGAAATCTTAAGTGTTCTTAAGTTTTGTGTCACTGTCACAACAGAAAATTTACCGTTTTCCCGTTTTGTCGATTAAAAGCATATAAAAGATAAATATTATTGCTTTGTTACAGCATACTTTGAAAAGGCTTCTCTAGCAGTGGGTTAACAAAACTTTGCAATCATGGCATAAAATCTACATAAAAAATCAACTAAAAAGTAAGTTTTTCGACGATTTTTGTTTGCATCAAACCGGCGACACGTGCTTTTGTAAACAATGACCAACCGCCAATTTGCCGCTCACCCATGCAAACTACTGAAATCATTAGAAGCTCTGATTTGGAAGATCGCAGCGTTTGATGGAATTTCCCGAAGGCCCATTTTCAGAAGGTTTCTATAGTTCTCAGAACGTATTTGAGTATTTGAAACCTTCAGTACTCGGAAAGCTTTAAAACTTCTCAAAACTTCCACCACCTTATCAAGCACCAATTATGATGTATGTACCTTTTTGGAGCTCACTGAACCTCTCAAAAGTCTGAAGTTCGCAGATCCTCCCTAATAAAAATAATCATAAAAGAGAGCTTAACGACGTGTTCGGGGTATCATCCAAACCATTTGTGGGATAGTTTACCCATCCGGGATACAGTTCGTTTATGGTATTTGTTTATTAGGGCTCTCTTCAGCACTGAACCTCTGAAATATTCTCCAAGCTTCACATATTTTGATTTGCTCCTTGATCCTCTCAGAAGTTTTATGAGAAGTTCAGAGAACTTCAAAGAAGTTAAGTGCTCTCCAGCGGATCCTTGCAGATTTCAAAGAAGATCAGTGGCTTTCAGAGGTTCTGTAACACTCAGATCAACTCATTGATCACCTCTGAGATGTTAAGGATTACTTCAGAAACCATTTGGAACTTCAAGAAGACTCATCGGAGCAGGGCTTCATAATATCAGCTTCAATCGATGCGACGAAGAGGCTGCTAGCTTTCATTTTCATTAGCACCTCAGGCGGCGTCTACAAACAAATTTTCAATCGTCTCTTTCTCCCGTAGTTTCATTCGTGTTTTTTTTCGAGCTTGGATGAAGCGGACGAGCGCTCGATTTTGATATGTTCGTCTTTAGCAAACCCCACACTTATCAATATATTGACGCGAAGGATAATTATTGACATTAATATTGATGATGTGAATACAGAAATATTGTCAATACCGATGTATTGACGTCAATATTGAATGTATTGACAATATGATTATTGTCAATAAAAGCAATCGTGTACGGTCCACATTTCATGAAGCATATCAACCGAGGTTTCATGACGTGTATGACGGAAAATGAAAATATTTATTTGAAGCATTTTTCACATGAAAACACTTGAAGATTACACGTAATATGTTTAATTTATCTTGATAATGCTTTGGAAACCTTTCTTAAGATATGAGATAAAAAAAAAAGTTTTAGAAACCACAGATAAGTTTGGGAATCAAAAAAGTCGTTTTCCTAAACCTAAACCTCATCAAAAGTTAAGTATAAGGCATTTCGTGGTGGAAGAGTTCGGAAAATTCTGGAGGAGTCTTCAAAACTTATAGTTTAAATCTTTATTCATAAGAATTGGTCCGAAGGTGGGATTTGCTACAGCTGGTAAACTAGAATAAGCCACTTTTTATCCACACGAATCAGGTTGTGTTCCATTTGGTAAATTTTCGCTTAGATTTGACACTTCGGAAATAAATTAAGGCTGTGAACCATTTGCAAAGTTAAATTTAACTCGTGGTTAAAAGTGACATTTCGAAAGTTATTTTCTATGTTCGAAAATCCCCGTGCTGTCGATCGACCGGTTTTCGAGCCACGGTTGTCAAAATTTAACTTCTTGTCTGTCAGAAATAACCATGCTCGGATAGCAGGGTTAATCAATAACTTTCCATCTGTCAAATTTTAACCAAAAGTTAAAAAAAATCGCCAAATGGTTCAGAGCCTAAGATGTTCGAAAATCCCTCTGTTGATGAGCGGCTGATTTTCGAGAAGGGGTCTGTAAAAATGGATTCCTTGTTGTCAGAAATAAGCAGCGTTTACAGCAAGGTGACTACATATAGGTGTTCTAATGTGTCAAATTCATGATCCAGCCATGTTGGATTTTTGTATGGGACAGCGACCGAGTTGGTTTACAATTTGCTCTAAAACCGCACTTTTCCGACCTCCTCGCCTATATAGTGACAAAGCTGTATCACCATTTATATAAACACCATGGTTTACAGTAGTTTTTGACACTTACTGGAGGGCTGACGACAGTGTTGCCAGATTGTTTTAATGCTTATCGGTATCAAAGGTATTAAAAAATCGGTATTTATCGGTATTTACTAGGGGAATTTACGTATTCTCGGCAACCTAAGCAGCGACCTTCTTTCTATAGCCTTTTTCTCTATGGAACGCACACATATGCAGTATTGGTTTGTTTACAATCTTTTGCTGCCAGCTGCTCTAACAATTTCAGTCGAAAGAATTGTTAAAAACTGTTTTGAAACGCTTTTACAAAGCTCCAATCTTCTCTAGTGAGAGCGAGTATTGTCGGCAATCAGTTTTTCTTCGGCAACCGTTCCATTTGAACTGCATGTAAATCTGCTGTTCTGTTATCGGCAACTCGAAATCAGCTACAATTTGTAGTGCGTGTGTTTCATTTCAAGAAAACCCTGCTAGATCGAGGGGGCGACACATCTAAATCTCAATTCTAGATGCTCAAAAAATCTCACACTAGCGAATAAATCTTCGAAAAATCTTCTTTCATTTCTCGCATCTACTTGCATCGCGCATCATCTTTTTGCAGGAAATCTTCAATATCGTGATAAATCTTCTTTCTATCTACTCAACGTACGCGCAGCTAGCCACAGCAAAACACTATATTTCCTGCATCGTAGATAGAGTCGTCCCCCTCGTGCTAGATTGCTTTTTCTCAGTGATAAAAATATAGTAAAATTGAAGCTAAAAGCATAAAGAATCGTTTGCATGCATTCAGCGAAGTGTTTTCGTAAGAAAATCCAGTGAAAATAGTGTTTCAATTTGGGTTGCCGAAAATAGTCCGTCATGCCGAAGCCGTCATTTCCCCTATTTATTTAATTTTATATTTTTGCCGTTTTTGGAAGCGAAAATTTTAACGATGCTGACAACTGGGATTTGAGGGGAATTGCTTTGTTTGACAGCTTTCTCAGTCTTAAAACACTCTTTAATTTTTTTAATTTAATTTTTAAATTATCGTTGTCCTCAAGTGGTGATTAAAATTGTGACCAAGTAGTGTTTTTTTCAATTAAATATCATTAAATGAAACCAAAGTATGGAAAATCAGTCACAACAACGACTAAACTATTGACAATAACGACAAACAATATTTTCCCTTGAAAAAAGCCACAATATATGGCCGAATCTTCGGGCAGATTGCATCGTAGTCGTTGCATTGTTTTAAGACTGAGAAAGCCGTTAATCAAAGCAAAATTTTAGCTTTTGAACTATGATCGGAAAATTTCGGAAGAAAACTCCATAGAAGACGAAAGAAGCTCTTCTGGATGAAGTTCGAGAAAAGCTGGAAAAACCTCCGGGAAACTTCCAAGACACGAATTAAGAAACTTGTGGCGAAAATTTAAATAAACTATCGGAAAAAAATCGGGTGTAACATCCAAAGGAAGCCAGAAAAGTTTCGGAAACCAGAAGTAGCCAGGGAAAGCCAGAAGAAGCTTGGAAGAACCTTCCAATTGAAGTCGAACAAAACAACCTTTGACTTATGGTCAAACTTCCAGAAGAAGACGAAAGAAATTTCTGGGAGAAATAATTGAACTTCCTTGAGAAAACGAAATAAACTTCCTGGAGATGCAGGCAGAAACTTTCTAAGGTAGATTGGAAGAAGAAAGTCGGAAGCCAGAGCGGCTACGGAACAGTCGAAAGAAACAAGGACATAATTCCGGAAGAAAGAGATTCCTGGGGGATGTTCTAATGATCCAGAAAATTTTCCTGATATTCAAAAAACATCCCGGAAGACTCCGAAATTTCCCTGAAATTCCTTAAAAGTTCTTGTAATTTTCCTAAAATTAGGGGCTGTTTTGGAGTTCTCTGGTCATCCTCGAAGCGCTCGGAACTTCCCTGATTATATCAGGACTACCGGAATATCTCTAATAATCTTAGAAGGTCTCTGGACTTTCTTGAAGATTACGAAATCTCTTAAGTGCTCTCACAATATTCTTGAATTTATTGTAACATCAGCATTGAAGTTCTCTGATGTTCCCGTTGTATTTTTTTAAAGTTATCGACACTGCCATTAAAAAGCATAGAAATTCCCATAAAAAGTGTAACTTCCCTTACGTTTCCTAAATTTGCATTGACATTGCTGAAGTTTTCGGAAATTGCCTGAGTTTCTCGGAACTCCTTTATAATTTCAGCAATTTCATTGAAATTAATTGGTCTGTCCTGATGCTCTCTGAGCTTCACTAAAGTTCCAGAAAACCATTAAATTTCGCTGAAGTTCTTTGGACTTGTGAAGTTTCCAAAATGTTTATGATGTTTCCTTAAGTTCACTGGAGTTCGCTGTTCTGAAATTTCCGGGTTTTCAAATTTTAACAGAATTTAATGAAACCGTCTTTAATTTATCAAAACTTACACAAAAGTAAGGACTTTTCTGATGTTTCAGAACTTCTTAAATGTGCCTGCAGCTAGTGTGGATCCGCAATAAAATATGCTCCGGGAAAGTTAAAAAACTGGCGGGAGAAGATGAAAGAGTCATTCGAGCGAAGGCTG